AGATTTACAGGCGGCTTAGGGTCATAACATTCCTCAGCTAAATCCATCAACTTTTGAAAGGTTTTACTATCTGGTGCTTCAGAGAAAGTCAGGCTTCTAATAACTGAAAAAGAGCAGGTCCATAAGTTATCAGGAGAATTACTCGTTAGTTTGCATCTGCCCCAACGTCATTTGTCCGGAAAAAAATAATGCATTTTTTCCACATACTGGCCCAGTCTTCGATGGCAGGATTGAATGAGTCAAGCTTCGCAAATAGCGGTATGATGCCAGAAATGCTTACCCCAATTCAATGTCGACTGTTACCAGCAAATCTATTTGAGTCATGTTTATCTCTGTATGCCACTGAAATAACTCCACGATAGACAATATCCTGCATAGTACACAACACTGACCCAACTAGCTCAGAGCTGGCTCCTAGAGTGAATCGAACCTCATTCCAAGCAATGGGGACTAGATGCTGTCGACAAAGGCCTCTGCCTGCCAACAAAAATGTGACAGATTCCCAGGTAGCTAAATAATGAATGTTTGGTCAGAAGTCATCTGACTTCTTTTCTCTGCACTAAAAATACATCTCAAGCCTGAAGTCAGCCAGTTTATTTTGCCTCATCAGTTGCTGTAAGCTGTTGCTTTTAACCAGTAAGTCAGGGACACTACAAGCCTGAGCCAGTTGCTGTGTACTTCCTGCAAGCAAGGAGGACGACTAAAGAGCAGTCTTGGGGGAGACAGGGGAGCTTTATAAGTGAGTTAGAGTTTTAGCTAGTAGAGCTAGATGTTGATGGTTTATAACTATTTCTGTAAATAGAATTTGTTTATTTGTAATAAATGGTAATTCTTGTTAAGTACAGAAATCTGGTCCATGCTTTCTGTCAATCTGGTCTAAAAGACAGGGAAATTAGGGAATCGTGCATATGTAGATTAAAAAAAAACTTTTGTCCCAACTCCAGGAATAAATAACAGGGCTTGAATTCCAGTATACTAGCCCACTGCGACATAGCACGGTCATCTTTTGGCAACTGTGCAGGATGAATGTTACTAGCCACTTGCCAACCTACTGAATGTTGTCTCGGTCTTGCTAGATGTATATACGAGCTCCTTCAGTACTTGAGAAACTACACTGAAACTGATCATCATTCCATTTAACATCAAGAATCAATGCCATGATTGTGTCATTAAATCTCTCCGGAGATTCTATCTCACTTGTGTTTTGCTCATCACAACTCAATTCAAAGTCAAGGGATGATCTCACTGATTAGAACTTAATTTGTCCATCATTCTATGCTTGTGGTATGAGTTTTCCAATCGGATGAATCTGAACATTGCAAAGTAGGATGCTGCGGTTAGCAAATTCAGATAGAGTTACAAAATGTAGAAGACAATTTATTGAAAATTCATGTTTGAAGGCTTTGACAGAATAGCAAAGATAGAATAGTGGGGCCTTACACTCAAATTTATAATTAGGGTAATTTTGCATATCCAAGAATCCTACAGACATATACTTGATATTTGAGATTTTTAAAAACAAACAATCAATTCACAGCCTACGTGCACAGAATTTCACAAAATGCACATGCTGAGTCGTTGCTCAGATACAAGATGATAGAATCCCCACAGATTAGCAAGAAGTCTTTTTAACTGTGCTATTTACAGTAAGGGTGGCGCAGAAAGATGAGAGATGTCTGTAAATTTTATTCAGAGAAAGTGTAGCTAATAGTAGTTTGATAAAAATGAGTAAGAATATATTAATTTTCTTCTGAGATTCGATTCCACAGTACTAACAGCATAATTAACATTATTTATATGGCAATTTTCATGTCATGATTGTTCTATTATATTAAATTATTCAACTATTCTTTCGTGTGCAGCATTCTAGCTTAGTTTGGCACTTACATCTTGTGTGCTAACAATTATTTTCAACAGTGACTGACGAATGAAATTTGATAACTTCCCCTCCCTATCCTAAGAATGACAAAGAGGGTGGTGTAGTCTTGATAATGCCACTGGACTAATAATCCAAAGATGGTTGGAGTTTGCGGGCTCAAATCCCACACTGCAGCAGGAGAAGTTTAGAACTCAATACATCTGGAAATTAAAAATATTCTCAGTGATAACACATTGCCAACTATCATTGATTGTTGTAAAAACCCATCGGGTTCACCAATGACTTTTAGGGTTGGAAATTTGTCATACTTTCCTGGTCTGGCTTGCATGTGATTCTAGATCTACAGCAGTGTGGTTGACTTGTAACTGCCTGCTGAAAAGCCCTAACAATTCACTGAATTCAACAGCAATTGGTAGCAAATATGGCCCTGCAAACGATACCAAAATATTCATGAATAAAGAAGAAAATATATAAATAAATGCAGGGGCTTAAATTATACCTCAGCAATGAGTAGTTCAAATGGACTGTATTTATGTGCCACTTATTTTTACTGCTTCAGCTAGGAAAACATTGATTAATGCTGAACATTTAAAATGTGTTTTCAAAAAAGAGAAGTGGGTTTGGTGCATTCACGTACCAGCTCCATGAAATAGTGGGACAAGTTATCGCTCATTAATTCTACACAAATTACCTATTTTAACCCAGTGGTCAAGGAACTGTGGATGTGGCGCATTTGCAAAAGGCATTTGATAAACAGCAACATCGAAAGTTATGACAAAATAAGAGTTAATGGTGTAAGGCATAATATATTAGAATGAACAGATGTATGGGTAGCTAACAGAATTGGGGTAAATGGGTCTCTCTCTGGTCAGCAAGCTTTAGCTACTGTAGTGCTACAGGGATCAGTGCTGGGGCCTTAGCTATTAGCAATTTATATCAACAATTTGGATGCAAGAATCAAATGTAGGTATCTAGATTTGCTCATGACACCAAGCCAGGAAAGAAAGCAAGTTGTCAGGAGGAGATCGAGAGACTGCAAAGGGATGTAGGTAGGTTGAGTGAATGGGTGAAAATTTGGAAGAAGTAGCATGCAATTACTTTGGCAGGAAGACTACGCTATTTAAATAGACATAGACTGCAGGATTTAGAGGTGCAGAGGCTGTGGTACATGAATCACGAAAGTCAGTTTGAAGGTAAAACTTGTGATTAGGAAGGCAAATGGAATAGGTGGAGGGAAAGGTAATGCTGAGGAAGCAGGGAGGCTGCAGAAGGCCTTGGACAGGACAAGAATGGGGGCAAAGAAGTGGCAGATAGAATACAATGTATGAAAGTGTGGGGTTATACACTCTAGTAGGAAGAATAGAAGTGTAGGCTATCTTCTAAATAGGTAAAGGTTTCCACCTTGGGAGTTCTACTTCAGGATTCTTTCAAGATTAATATGCAGGTTAACTTGGCATTTAGAAAGGCATATGCAATGTTAGCATTCATTTCAAGAGGGCTAGAATACAAGAGCAGAAATGTACTTCTGTGGCCATATAAGACTCTGGTCAGGCTGTGTTAGGAATATTGATAGCAGTTCTGAGCCTCGTGACGAAGGAAGGTGGGGGGCGGGGTTGAAGACCTAATTGAAACTTGCAAAATATTGAGGGGCCTGGATAGCGTGGGCGTAGAGAAGATGTTTCAATTAATAGGAGAGACTGTGACCCGAGGGCACAGCCTCACAGTGAATGGACAACCCTTTAGAACAGACATGAAGAGGGATTTGTTCAGCCAGAGGGTGGTTAATCTGTGGAAGTCATTGTTGCGGAGGGCTGTGGAGGCAAAGTCATTATGTGTATTTAAGACAAAGGAGAGGTGATGGCCTAGTGGTATTGTCACTGGGCTGTTAATCCAGGGACCCAGATAGTGTTCTGGGGACCTGGGTTTGAATCCCACCATGGTGGAATTGGAATTCAATAAATATCTGGAATTAAGAGTCTAATAATGACTATGAATCCATTGTCAATTGTTGGAAAAACCCATCTGGTTCACTAATGTCCTTTAGGGAAGGAAACTGCCATCCTTACCTGGTCTGGCCTACATGTGACTCCAGACCCACAGCGATGTGGTTGACTCTGAACTGCCCTCTGGGCAATTAGGGATGGGCAATAAGTGCTGTTTAGTCAGCGACGCCCTCATCCCACGAATGAATAAAGAATAGGTTCTTGATTGGTAAATGGATCAAAGATTACCAGGAGAAGGCAGGAAAATGGGTTTGAGAAACAAAGCAGCCACGATTGAATGATAGGTGAAAAAGTTTAATTTGCCCCTATCTCACATGGTATAATATTGGTGAGAGAGTACGGAAATTTTACTACAGCATTACAGGACCTTGATGAAATTGCATCTGAAGTAGTTTGCACAAATTTGAAGAACAACATAACTGCATTAGAAGCAGCTCAAAGAAGATTTCCTTGACTCATTTCTGGGATGAAGGGGCTTATTCAATGAAGGAAGGTTGAACAGGCTGGGCCTTTATTCATTGGAGATCAGGAGAATGAGAGGTGAATCTACTAAAACATTAATATCCTGAGGAGGCATCACAAGAAGGATTTCTAACTTAGGATTTCTCCTTACAGGACAGATAGAAATAGGGGACACAATTTACCAAAAAGAGATCACATTTTTCAGATAGATTAGGAACAAAATAATGCTGTCTCAGAGGGCAGCTAACCTGTGGAATTTTCTTCCGCAGAAAACAGCTGAAGCTGGGTCAATGGCTTTATTCAAGGCTTGAATTCAATACATTTCGTTAGAAAGGGAATCAGGAGGAGAGACACGAAAGTGGAATTGAGACCACATCCAGATCAACCATGATCTTATTGAATGGTAAAGCAGGCTCAAAGGGCCAAATTGTCCACTTCCACTCACATCCTTAAGTTTCTACGTTAGAGAGGTCGTTCTTTCTGTTTTGACACTCATATAGACAACTGAGAAAGCATTGTAGCAAACCACATGGGCACAAACGTTTGATCCTTGTGCAATGTACTTATTATGCAACGAGTTTAAAACTGTTCCCACTATCAGAAGGATTGAATACAATACACCATGTAAATACAGAGAACGAATTCAGGACCCTCACCTGTTCTTTGCTGTAATGTAGGACATGATGTTTTGATTGAAAAACTTTAAAATAAGTGGAATGCAATTGGCAAAAACCAGGTGCTGTGCCATGTATTCAAACTGCCGGACAAGAAAAGAGAATAAAGTTCAATATCATATCAATTCTGCCAAGGAAAACAAAACTTTAAGCACACTAATTTTCATAGCTTCTTGTAGCTTCACCTCAAAAATGATTCCAACAAATAGCCTGCATGAAGTCAGACTGACTGGTGTATAATCATTTAGTCTATCCCTCATTAATCTGTGCCTTTTCAAGAAACAATGAATCCTTTTACCTCAACATCTGTCCACAACCAAGGGTGGACTAATGACCTATAATTATGTAGTATTTTCTGAATAATGGTACAACATTTGCAGACCTCCAATCTTCTGGTACCTCGCTTGTATCGAGTGAGGTTTGGAAAATATTCCTCAGAGCATTTACATTTTCTCCCTGGCTTCCTATATCAGCCGAGGATACAATTTATCCAGTCCCAATTTAGCCACCTTCAAGGAGGTCAGTCCTTACGGTAGATGTATTCTTATGGTGCCTATTTCATTTAATAGTTCAGACTCCTCTCTCTAAACAGAATGTCCACATTAGGTTGCACAGTGGTTAGAACTGCTGCCTCACAGCACCAGGGACCTGGGTTCAATTGCAGCCTTGGACGACTGTGTAGAGTTTGCACATTCTCCCTGTGTCTGTGTTGGTTTCTAATGGGTTCTCAGATTTCCTCCCACAGTCTAATGATGTGCAGGCTGCGTGGATTAGCCATGGTAAATGCAGGGTTACGAGGAAAGGGTGGTGAGTGCCTGGAATGCGTTGCCAGCGGAAGTGGTAGAGGCGGGCACAATAGCGTCATTTAAGATGTATCTAGACAGATACATGAATGGGCAGGGAGCAGAGGGATATGGATCCTTGGAAAATAGGCGACAGGTTTAGATAGAGGATCTGGATCGGCGCAGGCTTAGACGGCCAAAGGGCCTGTTCTTGTGCTGTAATTTTCTTTGTTCTTTGATGAGGGATGGGATGCTTTTTGAATGTCTGGCGCAGACTTGATTGGTTGAATGGCCTCTTTCTGCACTATAAAGGATTCTGTGATGCTATTATCCCTCTGTATCATCTTTGTATTGTCTTCAACTATGTTGAAAATCAGCAGGGAAGTTAACCTGCGTCTTGGCAAATATTTATTTAACATTAATTAATAATATATTAGTTGGTCATTTTCATCGTGTCATGCGTGCTTGCCGTGAGCAAATCAGTTGCTGCAATTCCTATTACTCATCCCAATTAAGCTGTTAGCATTCGGTAAATTAAAGGGAAGTGGTGATGCAAGTGATAATGCTATTGGACAACTAATTCATAACGCCAAGTTCATGTTCTGGGAACTTGTGTTCAAATATCATCATGGTAAATGATAAAATTTGAATGTAATAAAAGATAATGGATAAAAAGCTAGTCTAATGGTGGCCATGAAACCGTTGTCAATTGCCATAAAAAGCCATCTGCTTCACTAATGTTACTTAGAGTAAGAGATCTGTAGTCCTTGCCTGGTCTGGCCTACAGCAATGTGGATGAATCTTAAGCGCCCTCTTGGCAGTTAGGGGCGGGCAATAAATTATAATCCAGTCCCGTAAAATTTGTGTCATAATAGGCATAGCAGGGTCCTTTTTTAAAAGGGTACAAGTTGCATTTTTACAATAATTCGCCAATTTTCATGGCTATTTTTCTGGTGCGATTTCAATAGTTTAACTTCATAATGTGCAACCGTGATACCTGAACTGATGGCTCTGGGTATCAGCTCATTAATGCAGTTATGTGATTTTATAGACTGGGTGTGGTGTTTAAAATTGAAGAGATAATATTAAGTCTTATAAAATCATTAGTAAGGTTTCAGTTAGGTGGAGATTTGGATGTAAGCTGAAGGAAAAAAATGTCAGGAAGAGTACACAGAAGAAATTCACTACGAGTCCAGAGATGTGGAGTTTTAGACACGAGGTCAGAGCAGACAAACTGAGATCACTTCTTTGTAGCACAAAGTGAAATCAAGCTTGCTAGAGGCATTCAAAATTGTGAAGGGGGCAGGAGGGAAAAAAGCAAGGATTGCAAAAGGTGGGGATAAGTGTCTTCAGGGGAGGCACTGGTGCTGCAAGAAGACAGTAGGACTGCAAAGTGGAAACAGAATGCCTTCAAAACAGATAGAAGGTCTTCAAAGGAGGTGGAAAAGAGAGGGACTTCAAAGTAAGTGAAACAGTTTTAAATTTTTCAATGAAAGAATAGTGAATACTATTGTAAAGAACACAAAATGAATTAGACAATTTAACACTGAACAGTTTTATTTCACAAATATTTGCATGTGTGTGTTATCACAAGTATTTCATATATTGTGAATTACTTGAGTTGCAATGAATGCATTACTTGAGTTGCAATGAATGCATTACAGATAATCATAGATAGCTCTGTTGTGAACTCATCAGTTTGTGACAAGTGTAAAGGATGATTGCTTTCTGTGTTGAAGTGCACACCAATTATTTTAAAAATCTTTTGCTGCTCACTTATGCCTGTTGTCTTGTGCCAGTTTAATCAGTATGGCATCCACTAAATTAATGCTATCTGGTGTATTGTGGTTTATGAGGTTGTGATGATTATTGAAGATAGTAATTATTATTAATTTCTGGAAAAAATTCTCAGGGACAAAATTAATCTCCAGTCGGAGAGGCAAGGATTAATCAAGGATATTCAGCATGGCTTTGTAAGGGGGAAGAACACACCTAACAAATTTGTTTGAATTTTTCAAGGTGGGACTAGATGCATAGATGAGGCAAATGCAGTTGACGTAGTCCACATGGACTTCAATAAGACGTTTGACAAGATTTCGCATAGCAGGTTAGTCAAGAATCTATACTTTGAATCTGTCTTCACTAAGGAAGATATAAATAACCCTCCTTAAATACCAGGTTCGGGGATCAAGCACGAAGGAGGAACTGAAGGAAATCCTTATTTGTAAGAAATGGTATTGGGGAAATTGATGGGAATTAAAACCCAATAAGTCCCCAGGGCCAGATGCTCTGTAACACAGAGTGCTTAAGGAAGTGGCCCTAGAAATAGTGGAAGCATTGGTGATCATTTTCCAGCATTCCGTAGATTCTGGAAGAGTTCCAATAGACTGGAGGACAGCTAATGTCACCCCACATTTTAAAAAAAGGAAGGTGAGGGAAAATGGGGAATTATTAGCTGATTAGCCTGACATCAGTGGTGGGGAAACTGGAGTCAACAATTAAGGATGTAATAACTTAGCATTCGGACGTTGTGACGGAATCGGCTAAGTTAGCACAGATTCACTAAAGGCAAATCATGCTTAACAAATCTTCTAGAATTTTTTGAGGATGTGACCAGTAGATTGGACAAGGGTGAATCAAGTAGGTGTTTTGTATCTGGACGTTCAAAAGTCTTTTGACAAGGTTCACACAAGAGATCAGTAAACAAAATTCAAGCTCATGGTATCGGAGATAATGTATTGACATGGATAGAGAACTGGCTGGCAGACAGTGAAGAGTGGGGTACCACAGGGTTCAGTGCTGAGACCTCACCTGTTCACAATATACATTAACAATTTGGTTAAGGAATTGAACGCAATATCTCCAAATTTGCAGATGACTCTAAGTTGGGTGGCAGTGTGTGCTATGAGGAGGATGCTAAGAGGTTGTAGGGTGACTTGGACAGACTGGCTGAGTGGGCAAATACTTGGCAAATGAAATATAATGTGGATAAATGTGAGGTGGCAAAACCAGGAAGGCAGATTATCTGCATGGTGGCAGTTTAGGAAAAAGGAGAGGTAGAACGAGACCCGGGTGTCATGGCCGAACAGTCGCTAAAGCAGTTGCAGCAGGCAGTGAGGAAAGCTAATGGCAGGCTGTCCTTCATAGCGAGAGGATTCCAGTACTGGAGTAGGGATGTCTTCCTGCAGTTATACAGGGCTTTAGTGAGGCCACAACTTGAGTATTGTGTGCAGTTTTGGTCTCCTATTCTGAGGAAGGACATTCTTGCTATTGAGGGAGTCCAGCGAAGGAACACCAGACTGATTCCTGGGATGGCAGGACTCACATATGAGGAAAGACGGGATCAACTGGGCTTGTACTCACTGGAATATAGAAGAATGAGGGGGAATGTCATAGATATATATAAAATCCTGACAGGACTGGACAGGCTAGATGCGGGAAGAATGTTCCCGATGTTGGGGGAGGCCAGAATGAGGGGTCACAGTCTAAGAATAAGGGATAAACCATTCAGGACTGAGATGAGGAAGAATTTCTTCACTGAGTTGTGAACCTGTGGAATTCTCTACCACAGAAAGCTGTTGGGGCCAGGTCATTAGACATATTCAAGAAGGAGTGGTAGGACTTAGTGGTAGGTTTTATTTTGGGGGGGGGGGGGGGGGGGGGGGGTGGGGGAAGTCACGGCCAAAGAGTGCTTTTGTGCCCAGAAGCATCTGTCCAGTGGCATACCACAGAGTTTAGTGCTGGGTCCTTTGGTGTTTGTGTACATTAACATTCAAGACAGTAATGATCAGCGAGTTAGCAGATGAAAGAAAAATTGACAGTGTGGCAAATAGTGAGGTGGTAAGCCTTAGACTACAGGACGATGAGCTGAACAACATCAAATGGAACTTAGTAGTGAAAAGTGAGGAGTGATAGATTTTGAGAGGCCTCACAAGACAAAGAAGTACGTGTTGAATGGTAGGACCCGAGAAGTACAGAGGATCAGTGAAACCTTGATGTGCACGTCCATGGAGCCTTGAAGATGGCAGGGTAGGTAGAAAAGTTGGTTAAGGCAGTGTTTGGGATACTTGCCTTTATTAGTAAAGCGCTGAATAAAAGGGCAAGGAGGTTACCATGGATCTGTACATAACATTAGGCAGGTCATAGCTGAAGTACTGATCTGCACACAGCAGGAAGGATATGATTGCACTAGAGGGGGTATAAAACAGATTCACCAAAATGTTGCCTGGGCTGGAGCAATTTGACTCGATAGGCTGGGATTGTTTTCCATAGAGCAGAGAAGGTTGAGGATGAATACTCAGTCAAGTGTACAAAGTTCTGAGTGACACAGACAGGAAATGTGAGGAGAAACATTTCCCCTCAGTAGAAAAGGAGGCAATGGCCCACTGGTATTATCACTGGAATGTTAATCCAGAGACCGAAGTAATACTCTGGGGACCCAGGTGCAATCCCACCACGGCCGATGGTGGAATTTGAATTCAATAAAAAAAATCTGGAATTAAAAGTCTAATGATGTCCATGAACCGTTGCTGATTGTGGGGAAAAATCCATCTGGTTCACTCATGTCCTTTAGGGAAGGAAGCTGCCATCCTCACCCGGTCTAGCCTACATGTGACTCCAGACCCATAGCACTGTGGTTGAGTCTTAACTGCCCTCTGGGCAATTAGGGATGGGCAACAAATGCTGGTCTAGCCAGTGATGCCCTTATCCTATGAATGAATAATAAAAGAAAGGGTCAATAACTAGGAGGCAAAGTTTAAAGGTAAGGAGGACGTTCAGAGCGAATTTTAGGAAAACATTTTTCATCCAGAAGATTGTGTGTATCTGGAACTCATTGCCTCAAAGTGTGATGGAGGCGGAGCCTTCAGGACATTTAAGAGCTACTGAGATGAATACTTGAAACAACTAGTATATGCTACAGGCCACATGCTGGAAAATAGGATTAGAATAGATAGATGCTTGATGATCGGTATGGCCACAAAGGCTGAATGGACTCTATCCATGTTGTACAAGCTCTAGAACTCCATTAATCAATTCTAGATTCTACTTTTGTTTGAAACAAACACCCCATACATCAACAAAATACAGAAGGTAATGTTACCACATGATTGCATCACCCAAAAATTAAGTTAATGAAAATGAAAAAGGAGCCTCAAAAACTAAGAGGAACCCCCTACCAAAAAATAAATCACAATAGGAGCCCTTGAGAAAAGACTATTTTTGATTTCCAATAGCAGAGTTGCAAGTAGTTTTGAAGCCTCTAAGCTAGAAGCAAAAATAATCTGCACAGACCCCACTCCTCATCAGTACTGGCTCACTGTCAAGTATTCATATGCAGCCAACGAGGAGAAAATGAATGCTTTGGGCTTTGAGCTGATACTCTCGACTTAGGCTCACTCATGAGCATTACGATTCATAAGATACAATATGGACAAGGCCAACAGATGTATGGGAACACAACCATCTGCAAGTTTCCCCCAAGCCACTCACTTTCCTAACTTGGAAATATATGGACATTCCTTCCCTGTTACTGTGTCAAAAACCTGAACTTCCTCCCTAACAGTATTCTGGACATGCCTACACCAAATGGACTACAGCTGTTCACGAAGAAGCTCACCACATCTTCTCAAGGAAAACTAGAGTCGGGCAGTAAATGTTGCGTCAACCAGTGAAGCTCATGTCCCTGAATGAATATTTCAGAAAGAGATTAATGACTAGGACCCTAACAATGATATGACACCCTCGGGACAGAAGAAGTGGAAGCAAAACGTTAGAAAAAATATTGTACACCAAACAATACTTACCACTAATAATTATTAACAAATTACTTAGGTAACATAACAGCATTACTTACTTGATAGATGTGGTTGAGTTTGAAGTGCTTAAGTAACAATAACAAGACAGCAGAAATTGCTTTTACAATGATCTCTTTGTGTCTGTTGACATCAACTCCAAGTTTCATACTCTGCAGCACAGTGGTACTATTAGGATAAAAATCATATCACCATGTTAATACAGAAACATAGAAACTAGGAGTAGGAGCAGGCCATTTGGCCCATCGAGCCTGCTCGACCATTCATTATCATGATCAATCATCCAACTCAATAGCGTGTACCCGCTTTCCTCCATATCATTTGGTCCCTTCAGCACCAAATGTGATATCCAGGTCCTTCTTAAGATCATACAATGCTTTGGCCTTGGCTGCATTCCGTGATAGCAAGTTCCACAAGCTCACCACTCTTTGGTTGAAGAAATTTCTCCTGAACTTTGTCCTAAATGGTTTACCCCATATCCTTAAACTGTGATCTCTGGTTCTGGACTCCCCTAACATCGAATCCTTGATTGGCTGTTAAAATTTTATAGATTGCTCCTCATTTTTCTGTATACCAGTGAATGTAATCCTAGCTGATTCAAAGTCTCCTCACATATCAGTCCCACCACCGCAGGAATCAGACAAACCATCACTGCACTCCCTCTTATAGAACAGCTTCTTTCCCCAGACAGGAGGCTAAACCTAAATGAAACATTCCAGATGTGATCTCACCAATACCCTGTTTAATTGCAGCAAGACATCCTTGCTTCTGTGCAAGGGGTAATAAAATAATGTGTGTGACACAAGATAAAGAAATAAGAAAAGCCTCTCGGTTGAGGGCCTAAGAATGACACGTTATCTGACAGGGAACAGGATTCAAGGACAACAAAAACAGAAAATATTGCAAATACTCTGCAGGGGAAGCAACAACTAGGGACAGAAAGAGAGTTAACATCTTGGGTTTATTTTAAAAAAAAATCATTTATCTGAAACATGGCACCGTAACATCCATTCCCAGCCATTTTTTTTTCATATTTCAGATTTCCGGGATTATCAGCAACTTGCTTTTGATCAAGTCCAGCTTGGCAAAAGAATGTGATCTCACATATCCAGAACACAACTGTACCTTACTAAGATACCATCAAACATTGCAATAATTAAATGAAAATAAGTTTTCACTAAGTTACTTCCAGTTAAGTTCCAGTCTCTATACTTCATGAAAATTAAGAACAACGATTTACTGAAAAGAATGAAATAGAACAACAAGTGGGAGATTAAAGTTCCTAATACTAAAGAGAAAGGAATATTTACGGCATTTCTTCTGGCAGGACATCTGCAAGAATATTGATTGAATCAGTCTTTGCTTTTGAGGTTGGGGCTGCAGCCAGAAGGATCTTTAGTAAAGCAATCTGTGGGGAAGAATTGATGGAAGAAATTGAAGAAGAAAATAATCTTAAAATGTTTTCCTCCTAAAAAAAGTCTGTCTTAAATATAGAACTGCTGGAAAACATTTGCAGGTCTGACAGCATATGTGGAGAGGAGGACAGTTCGCTCTGAAGAAGGATCACTGGGCCTGAAATGTTCACTCTGCTTTCTCTCCAGAGATGCTGCCAGACCTGCAGAGTTTCTCCAGCAAGTTGTTTTTGCTTTAGATTTCCAGTGTCGACAGTTCTTTGTTTTTCACCTAGCATCTCTAAACCTTAATTACCCTAAACAATTGTTTGCTGAACTATAATCTGAGTTTAAATAATGACAATTAAATCCTGTACAAAACAAGATGACGACACACACAAGTAATAACTTAAAGAGGCCAATTTTTGCAGAGAAAGTTTAGAGTGCAGCCTAGAGGGAACACCAAGCAAGTTGCAAGGGAAATTGGTTCTGTCATGCTGAGTGCTATCAATCAAGCTTGACAATGGAGCACAACTCTACCACGCTAGTCACTTTACTTAAATGCCATTGGGAAACCAAGGGCTTAGAAAATTTTTTTTTTTTCATTTTTCAATTACAGCCTATATTTAACCTCTCCTCAGCAGGCAGAGCTACAGCAATGTAAAACCAACATCATTTGCAGACTAGATGTGCTGGTGTTGCAGATTAGGTAAAACAGCAGCTGGATGATGTGGCTGCTTTGTACTGCTAAAGCATTGTAAGTTATTGTCTATACTCCTTTCAAGTACTGAAAGATGTAAGCATTTATTTTCATATTTCTGACTTCATCAGTTTCTTTTGTTTCGAACAGGTCTAACTGTATTAGATCTTTGCTTTGCAAAACATATCAGAAACATATTCAAATCTTTAACATAATAACATCTGATATTCCTTCATTTGTTGCTTCCCACTTTTCAATCTCTCTAAATATGTTCGTTTTCATTGCTTTAAATTGTTTCATTCACTCATAGATGGCAGCGTCGCTGTCTGGGTCAACATTTATTGCTGAATGATGGACAATGAACTCGTCTCCAGAGTTTTATTTCTATTTCCTACTGAGGATTAAAATGAACACTGTTGAGATTGACGATCAAGTATGTACAGCAGGCAGAGCATCAGGAAGAAAACAAAAAGTATAGGTGGGAGGTCAAAAGTATAAATAGGAAATGCAAAGAGAAACAAAGAAATTAAATTGTTTAACTTTTAGGATAAAACTAAGTAACAAAATATTCTACAACTGGAGAGGTAATACTGTTCAGTTGGGAATTGGGCCAAAAAGAAAAGATGAGAGAGAAAAATTACAGGTTACAATTCCAAATGGTAAAATGAAACCATTATTTTGATTGTTTATCAGGAAGATACATCTGGTGGACATGATAGTGTAAGATGAGATTAGGAACAATACAAATGTATTCAAAGTATTACGAAGAAAGAAAAATATTCTACTACAATGCAAAGTTAATGATGAGTTAAAAAAGATTTCATTAGACAAGTGACAGATTTCATGAGGCAGTGCTGCAGTCACCACGGCTAGGGAACGGATCGCGACAGGACACCCTCAGTGATTGACGCGAGGAACAGCGTCGAATCAGAGGGCAGCAGAGACCTCTTCTAACCAAAACAAAAGAGCACTGCAAGGATGACAGGCAAGGTAAGATTCTCATTTTTTTTTTTTGAAGTGTACAAGGGCGGAGATGGCAGGTAGGGCAGTGGTATGCTCCTCTTACTAGATGTAGGAAATCAGGAAGCAGTCTAGTGTCCCTGACAACTATATCTGCAGCAAGCGTGACCAGCTGCAGCTCCTCACAGGCCGTGTGGTTCAGTTGGAGAAGCAGCTGGACACAATGCAGTGTAAGAGAGGGTGACAGACACTAGCTTTAGGGAAGTGATCACACCACAGGTTCAGACAGATAGATAGGGGACTGCCAGGAGAGGCTGCAGGTAGTGCAGGAGTCTCCTGTGGATATTCCCCTCTTAAACAGCTATACCATTTTGAATAATATGGGGTGGAGTGGGGTGGTGAAGGAATAGCCCCTCAGGAGATAGTACAAGCAGCAACCAGACCTGTGGTACCACAACTAGTTCTGCTGTAGAGCGGGGTAAGGCAAAGTCCAGATGAGTGATAGTAGTGCATGACTCAGAGCACAGACAGGTGTTTCTGTGGCTGTGAACAAGACTCCAGGATGGCTTGTTGCCTCCCTGATGCGAGGGTCACAGATGTCTCTGAGCGGGTACAGGACATCCTGAAATGGGAGGTAAAACAGACAGAAGTCATTGTCCACATTGACACAAATGACATAGATAGGAAGAAGGAAGAGTCCTGCAAGGCCAATTCAGGGAGTTAGGCAGGGAGCTAAAAAGCAGGACGAGCAGGGTAGTAATCTCAGAATTACTATCCATGCCACAGGCTAGTGAGGCTAGAAACAGAGAGAGAGAGTACAGTTGAAGACATGATTACAGAGCTGGTGTAGGAGGGAGGACTTTAGATATGTAGATCATTGGGATGTCTTTTGGAGAATGTGGGAACAAGGAGGACAGGTTGCACCCAAACTGGAGGGGCACCAATATCCTGGGAGGGAGGGTTTCCAGAGCTCTTCAGGAGGGTTTAAACTATGTGGCGGTGTGTGGGAACCAGAACAACAGGCCAGTAATTGCAGGGACTGAGGACAAAAGAGGGAGTGAGCTATGCATAGCACAGACTAAGAGCAGGCAGACGGAAATCGCAGTGCTCAGAGGGACAGGAGGTCTGGAGTGCATTTACTTCAATGAAAGAAGTGTAACAGGTAAGCCAGATGAACTAAGAGCATAGATTACTACATGGAATTATGATGTTATTGCCATTACGGAGACATGGTTCGAGGGGGGACAGGACTGGCACCTCAACATTCCAGGATATCGCTGTTTTAGACGGGACAGAAAGGGAAACAAAAGGGGTGGGGAAGTTGCATTTTGCTGATTAGGGATTACATCACACCTGCGTTGAGGGAGGAGACATCGGAGGGATCTTGCAGTGAGGCATTATGGGTGGAGCTCAGGAATAGGAAGGGTGAAATCCCAATGTTGGGAGTTTTCTATAGACCTCCCAACAGCCCACGGGAGACAGGCGAGTGACTTCAAATTTCCTATTATTGACTGGGACTCCCTTAGAGTCAGGAGCTCGGATGGAAAGCAATTTGTCAGATGTGTCCAGGAGGGCTTTTTGAGGCAGTATATTGACAATCCAATCAGAGAGGAGGTCATACTAGACTTGGTATTAGGGACTGAGCCAGGACAGGTGATTGATGTTTCAGTAGGAGAGCACTCTGGACTTGGCGACCATGACTCCATCAGATTTTGAGTGCTCATGGACAAGGACAAGAATGGCCCTCAGGTGAGGGTGTTTAATTGGACAAGGGCCAATTACATCCACATTAGACAGAAATTGGGGAATGTGGATTGGGAGCAGTTATTTGAGGGCAAATCTACATTTGACATGTGGGAGGCTTTTAAAGATCAGTTGATTACAGTGCAGGATATGCATGTCCCTGCAAAACTGAAGGATAGGAATGGCAGGATCCGGGAACCAAAGATGACAAGGGAAATTGTAAGCATGGTCAAAAGGAAACAGGAAGCATAAAGATAGGTCTAAGCAGCTACAAATTGACGAAACCCTTGAGGAGTATTGGGAAATTAGGAAGGATCTTAAACGCGGAATTAGGAAGGCTAAAAGGGGCCATGAAATGTTTTAGCAAACAGGATCAAGGAGAATCCCGAGGCTTTTTTATGTATACATTACAAGAAAGAGGGTAGCAATGGAAAGAGTAGGCCCACTCAAAGACAAAGGAGGGAAGTTATGCATGGATCCACAGGAAGTGGGAGAGATTCTTCATGAGTACTTTGTATCAGTATTCACCGAGGAGAAGGACATGACTGATGTTGAGGTCAGGAATGAGTGTGTGAATATACTCAAAGCTCAATATATTGAAGGAGGAAGTTTTGGGTATCCTAAATTGCATTAAGTTAGACAAGTCCCTAGGGCCAAATGGGATCTATTCCAGGTTATGACGAGAGGCAAGGGACGAATTAGCTGGGGCATTAGCAGATATCTTCACAATCTTTGACCACAGATGAGGTTCCGGAGGATTGGAGATTAGCCGCTGTTGTTCCCTTGTTTTAGAAAAGCAGCAGAGGAAATTATAGGCTGGTGAGCATGACGTCTGTGGCGGGGAAGCTCTTTGAGAAGATACTGAGGGACAAGTTATATGCACATTTGGAAGAAAATGGATTTATTAGTGACAGGCAGCATGTTTTTTTCACAGGGAAGATACTGTCTCACCAACTTGATTTCTTTTTTGAAGAGGTGACAAAAATAATTGATGAGAGAAGAGCTGTGGATGTAGTTTTATGGGCTGTCGTGAGGCTTTTGATGAAGTCCCACATGGCAGATTGTTACAAAAACTAAATTCACGTGGGATTTGGGGTGCGCTGGCTAGATGGATACAAAACTAGCTCGGTCATAGAAGACAGAGAGTAGTGGTGGAAGGGTGTTTTTCATAATGGAAACTGGTAACCAATGGTGTTCCTCAGGGATCAGTCTTAGATCCTCAGTTTGTGGTATATTTCAATGATCTGGAGGAAAATCCGGGTGGTGTGATAGTTAAGTTTGTAGATGACAACAGTGCTGGCGACTGTAAAAGGATACAACAGGATATAGTTAGATTGGCAACTTGGACACAGAAATGGCAGATGGAGTTTAAACCAGACAAATGCAAGGTGATGCACTTTGGAGAATCAAATTTAGGTGTGAGTTATGCTGCAAAACGCAGAACCCTTCGGAACATTAACATACAGATGGATTTGGGCATGCAAGTCCACAGTTCCCTATAAGTGACACATAGGTGGCCAAAGTGATTAAGGCGGCATATGACATGCTTGCTTTCATCGGCCAGGACATGGAGTACAAGAGTTTGCAAAACATGTCGCAGCTATATAAATCCCTTGCTAGGCTGCATTTGGAGTACTGTGTGCAGTTTTGGTCACCACAGTACCGGAAAGACGTGGAAACTTTGGAGAGAGTGCTGAGAAGGTTCACCAGGATGTTGCCCATTCTCGAGGGTGCTGGCTATGAGGAAAGATTAAAAAGACTAGGATTGTTTTCACTGGAAAGACAGCGGCTGAGAGGAGACCTAATAGAGGTCTACAAAATTATGAGAGGCATTGATAAGGTGGACAATCAGACACTTTTTCCTAGGATTGAAGTTTCAATTATAAGACAGCACAGGTTCAAGGTGAGAGGGGGAAGTTTAAGGGAGTTATGCGAGGGAAGCTTTTCATGCAGAGTGTGTAGGAGCCTGGAATGCACTGCCAGAAGTGGTGGTGGAAGCGGGCACGTTGGCAACATTTAAGAGGCATCTGGATGGTTATATGAATAGGGAGGGAATAGAGGGACAAGGACCAATTAAGGCCAGAAGGTTTTTTTTTTTAGCTTAGTTAGGGCACGATGATCAGAACAGGCTTGGAGGGCCAAAGGGCCTGTTCATGTGCTGTACTTCTCTTGTTCTTTTATAACTCATAATTGTATTTAGAGAGATGGCACGTGTCTACAGAACAGTAGAACAGTCAAGCTAACCTATTAGTTGTAAGGAATCTGTACTAAAGGGCAAAATACTAGATACTAAAAGTAATCACCACCAATACTCAGCATGAATTTCAAGTGAAAATTTTACTTGACCAGCCTCACTGAATTCTTTGAGTTGGTAACAGAAATACAGAAAGCAAAACACAGGAGATATACTACATCTAAGTTACAAAAAAAAAACTTTGTTAAAAAACCATACGAATGATACATCAATACGGCTAGAGGCTGTAGAATCACAAGCCCAGCAGCTGAAAGGATAGCAAATTGGCAGCAGGATACAAAGGAGAAAAAGGCAGTCACATAGTTAAGATAATTTGCAGAATTATCTGCAAATAATAAAAAGGGGGAGAGAAGGGGGTGGTCACTATTAAGGAAAACTGCAACACATTATAAACAGCATTATGAAACTTGGAGTAAAAATTGGAAATGAATTTCAATAAAGGACAGTGCGAGTTTTATATTTTGGCAAGAGTGAAATAAGGAGACCATGCATTCTTGGAAAATAATGATCTAAATCAGTTAAAGGTGCAAAGGGATCTAGCAATATGTAGTAAGGCAGGTCAAAAAGGAGAATATAAAAGCAAAATAAGCACGAGGTTTTATTTCTAGATAAGTAAAAGACAACAACTGAGTTGAACAGTACAAATGCATTGAAGGGGAAGCTAGATACAAGTCATCTTAATTGAGGAAGGACGGAAGGAGGCTCCAGTGGTGCACTAATGGCAGAGAAAGCTTATGAAGACATGGTGACCCTCAGGTTAAATTCACCACCAGTCGTTTCTCTCATGAAAGAGCAGCCCTATGGTCCCTTTGGACTTTGGTGACTTTGTCTTGTTATCTCGATTGGCCTATTGTTGTCGAAGATTTTCTATATAATTCTGTGCAAAAGGATACCGTAAGAGACTTTAGGCTCACCATGTATTGAGGCAGACTGGGTAGTATACCCTGGTACAGAATTTCAGCAGGTGTCAGGTCAAACTCTTCATCTCCCTGAAAACAGGAAAAGAAAACAGTCCTAAAACTAGTTCTCCAGTTCCTTCCTTAATTTCAGTCAGATATTTGACGTAGGTCTTCACCATGAGCATTCCATCCGTAATTTTCACTGGCCAAGCATTTTCAATGGAATGCATGTCACATTGTGTACATTACACATGGACAGTCTGAAGGTAATAAGCACTATTGCATGGGATCACAGAATCATAGAGACATACAGCACGCAAGAGGCCTTTCAGACCAAAAAGTCTGTACTGTCAAAACAGCATTGAATCTACACAAGGCCCACTTTCCAGCACTAAACCCACAGCCTCAAACATGACATTTAAAGTGCTCATCCAAGTACTTTTAAAAATTGTGAGATCACTGCCACAATCACCCTTCCAATAAGAATATTTCAGAACCCCTACACTTTCTGGGTGAAAAACCTTTTCCTCAAACCCCTGCTAAATCTCCCGCCTTTCACCTTAAAGGTGTACCACCTTGCTATTAACCCTTCAACTAAGGAGAACAGCTACTTTCTATCCAGCCTGTCCATGTTCCTCATAATCTTATACACCTTTATCAGGTTCCCTCTTGGCCTTCTCTGCTCCGAAGAAAACAATCCAAGCTTAGGCTCAGGGCTGCACCACTTCGCAGTTCCGCTTCATCCTCCGGCTCATTTGTCATGCTAACAAGAAACTTTTTCTTTTCCTTTCAGGCATCAAGTCCCATAAGATGCAAAAAAGTTCTGAGGAAGGGTCACCGGACTGGAACGTTAACTCTGCTTTTTCCTTCACAGATGCTGCCAGACCTGCTGGGCTTTTCCAGCAACTTTGTTTTTGTTCCAAGCTTATCCAGCCTTTCTTGTAGCTAAACTGCTCCATCCTGGCAAAATCCTGGTGAATTTCCTCTGCAGCCCCCTCCAATGCAATCATATCCTTCCTATAGTGAGGCGACCAGAACTACACACAGTACTCCAGCTGTGGCCTAACCAAAGTCCCATATAGCTCCAATGTAACATCCCTTCTAATCTATGCCTTGACTTATAAAGCCAGCCAGCAACGCCCCCATCCCTCAAAATGAATAAAATAAAACAAAATCTGTCCGAAAAGGCCAATCTCAATCTGAGACTATAAAATCATAAACTGTAGGAGCAGAGGTAGACCATTCAGCCCATCAGACTGCTACCCCATTCAACAAGATTATGGCAGATCTGATAATCCACAACTCCACTTTCTTGCTTTCATCCAGTAACCCTTGATTCCACAACTGATGTTGCAGGTTCCACAGTCACAGGGGAACCTCTTTTGCAGTAAGCTAAGAACTTTGGTAAATCACCTATTGTTCTTTGCAATGCCTATTCTACACACATGGAAAATCCCTTTATCTCAAAGACATGGTCTGGTGAAATTTTGTTCCACTTTCTTGTGGGCAAATATATCCTGGCTTAGGTAAAAAGACTACAACTGCAAAACAACAGTTTCTAAAGACTGTTTTACTCATGCTCCCATCCATTTGTCACTACTACTGGTCTTCCTATTTGCTTGCTGTACCTGCCTTTTAACTTTGTCCAGTCCATGCACAAGAACAATGAGGCCATATGGCATTGGAGCGAATTAGGTTATTCAGCCCATCGAATCTGCCCCGCCATTCATTCATGGCTGACGTGATTCTTAAGTCCATTCTCCTGTCTTCTTCATGTAACCCTGATCCTCTCACTAATCAAGAACCTATCGATTTTTGTCTTAAAGGAACTGAAAGACTTAACCTCCACAGGCTTCTGTAGCAATGAGGTCCACAGATTCACCACCCTCTGTCTGAAGAGATTTCTCTTCATCTCAGTTCTAAAGAGTTGTCCCTTTACTCTAAGACTGTGTCCTTGGTCGCTACTACTGGTGGAAACATTTTCTTCATATCCACTCAATCCAAGCATCTCAGTATATTGTATGTTTTAATGAGATTCCCCTCATCCTGCTAAACTCTATCATGTATAGACCAAGAGTCCTCAATTGCTCCTCAAATGACAAGTCCTTCATCCCTGGGATCATTCTTGTGAACCTCTGCTGGAACCCCTCCGAGGCCAGCACGCCCTCCCTTAGGTATGGGACTCCAGGACTGTTCACAATATTCTATATGTGGTTTGACCAGAGCCTTATAGAGCCTCAGCAGTACATGCTGGCTCAGCCGTATTTTACTATGCACTTCCAAGTACTCTGCAACCTCATCCTCAATCTTCCTAACAATCAAGGTCAGGCTAACAGGCCTATAATTTCCTGTCTTCTGCTTCCCTCCCTTCTTAAACACTTGCATTATATTAGCCAATTTCCAGTCCTCTGGGATCCTGCCTGACTCCAGTGATTTCTGAAAGATCATTATATCAATGCCTCCACAATCTCTTCAGTTATCTCCTTCAGAACTCTGGTGTGTAGCCCTTCTGATCCAGATAATTAATGCAATTTCAGACCTTTCAGTTTCCCCAGCACCTTTTCTTTAAGATGGCCATGACACTCACCTCTGCCCCCAACTCTCCAAGTTCTGGTCTATTAGTGGTATCTTCCATCATGAAAACTGATGTAAAGTACCTACTCAGTTCCTCTGCCATTTCTTTGTTTCCCATTATTATTTCTCCAGCTTCATTTCCCAGCTGTCCAATGTCCACTCTTGCCTCTCTCTTACCTTTTGTGTTAGAAATACAATCTCTTGCAATCTTCTTTTCTATCACCAGCTAGCTTACCCTCATTTCATCATCTCCCCACTTTGTACTTTTTTTTTTTTAAAGTTGGCCTCTGCTAGTTTTCTAAAGCTTTCCAATCCTCTGCTTCCCACTAATCTTCACTATATGATCAAGGAAAACCCTAAAGCTTTCTACGATCAAGGAAAACCCTAAA